ATATATATATATATATATATATATATATATATATATATATGTAAACGGGAAAGTAAAAATAGAGACTAATTTTTTTATCTATTTTAGAATCTAAAACACGCTTAAAATTAACTAGGTGTACTGCCACAAGGCACGTACGTTCTCATCGTATGTGTAGTGGAAACACTATACGTAATAATTATATTGCAATTGATGTGCTACTATTTTAGGCACGCCTTGCCAAGCTTCTTTAACCAAACTGCTTGAAACATGCCATTTCAACATGAAAGAGCTCGCCGGACATGATATCAATTTCCTAACATTTAAGTAGCAGAGAAATTGACCTTACAAATGTATAAATTGCGAAAGTCATTCATTTTATCGGCAATAAGTTTAACCTGAATCTGCATAGTAAAACCACGTGAAAAAGATTCACGTATTAAGCTACGAAAATTTTGAGCGAAGAAATGCAGTAACGGTAGTTGTACCAACCCAAACTCACGCTGTCACAAATCTAGTTATATCAACGTGCAGTGTGCGTCGGTAGCAGGCAACGGTTGAAGATGGAATGAGGGTGTGCAAAAAACATCTGTGGTGGCATTAGAAAGTCAGCAAAATAAATTGCATTTGTGTTGAAACATGGCGGAATAAATGAACGCGGAATCAATGAAACTTTACTGTTTCTATCAAGGTTTACACAAACGACAGGAGCAAAGTTCCATGTTCATAGCAGTTGTCAGGCCATTTGTAAGTCCGATCTTAGTCAACTGGATTATTCTTTGTGTCAGAATTTTAAGACAATATCATGTTCAAAATGTCACTAAAAATTTCGACACGTAAATAAGTTCGGCTCGTGGCTAGCTCTTGGTCAGCATGGTCGCTTTCCTCTCGGGTTCGATTCCTAGTCGAGTCAAGATTATAGTGTGCGTTTTTCTAGCAATGTCCTAGTGTCTATTGCTGTGTGATGATGAGAAAATTCACTTCTCAGGATGAAAAGACTGAAGTACGGTGTGGGGATGTCTGAGTGCTAACCACACAATCCCCATAACACATGGCCGCGAAGCAGGAACGTCGCCGGTAGACCTGAGCCTGTTTAAGGGCTGTTCCGCCAAGTACATACATAAATGGCAATAACCAATTCAGTTGTTAATAAGATTTCCACAATCATACGTTATCAGTGACCTAAATGTGAAGGTCATGACCATAGTGTTGTCGCACGGTGCGTGATCATTTCGAATTAATATTTAGTTATTCCTTAATAAATTCTCTATTTTGTTAGAATATGCTATGCAGAGTAACGGAGATTTTTGAAGTTGTGATGATTATTGATTGATTGATACTGATTTCGGATGTGTCAACTACTTAGGACATTAGTCGCATAAGTGTAGTGCATGTTTTCCTCGGGAGGGGGCAGCAACCTTCCCCTGGTGGATGGCGAGTTCCAGCGCCGTCCTACCGTCAGCTGTCAGCTACCGGGGTTGTCTCCAACCAGGTACCTCCCACCAGCGGGGCACCTCCCCAGCTGGAGCAAGCACTAAGCTCCTGACTGCTCTCCCGACTGGTGTGTCAAAATAACTGCTCACATTTGTGACACAATACGTCCAATACATACAGCGAAGCGAGCCCCAGCGGTGGCAGGATTTTGACACTTGCTACGTCTAATCCAGTCGCTATCTGGAGGGGAATTCTAGTGGTCGCCCGTTCTGATGGAAACCCCGCAACCCGACGGAGGATCACCACCACCTCCCGCGATAAAAACATGCACTAAACTTAGGGGACTCAAGTCCTTGGCAGTTAACGCGCCCGCAATCATTAATCAATCAAACAAGCAAGGAGGCTCCACGAAGTTTTTTTTCGTTTTGGATGTCAAATAGTTTTGGAGCAACCCGCAATGTATTGTGGTATGGCGGATTGCGGCGCAGAGAAGCGATGCCTTCGAGAGGGGGGGGGGTGAAAAGAGTAGAACCAGGAGGGGCAGAGCAAGAGCGGTCGGTGAGGTCAAGAAGGGCGAAACAGAGTGGGTAGTGCTGACCGGACCAAAGCGGAGCGAGAAGAAGTGGAGAGGAATGGGATGGGGCGATGTGAGGTGGATTAGAGCGAAACGAGATTTGGAGAAATAATATACCTTCCATTTACTCTACAAATAAAATTAATTGATATGTCTGCTTTATTGAATTAGTGTAACAAAATACGTGTTTATACTGACACCATGCCGCCTTACCTCGGATATTATTGTTTTATGTTGTGTTTCGTTTCATTTCTTCACAGAATGAACGCTTTAGCGGGTATTTTTACCTAGTATAAATAAAAATTTTAATTTCGTTGTATTTATTACAATGTGGCATTTATAGAACATCATATAAGTGTTACTTTTCTTTCTGAAATTTGTAAATTCATTAGTTTTAATAAACAATAAAAACAAACGTTAGTATGTTACAAAACATTGTATATCCCTTCTTTTATTGTAATTATAATTATTAAGAGCATAATTTAAACGCAGAATAGGATTATACAAATATTCTTTGTCTACAGTATAAGTGTCCCAGAATAAATATTACAAACATCTAGGGCACGTGGAGAGGTCGAAGATGAAAACATTTTTCCCGATTAACTTGTTGGGAATTTTATATAACTTAAGTGACATGGCCCTTGATTGTTCGGTAATCCATCATGCACTAGTGTTCAGTAGGTGGGCTAAATCTCTCTGATGGTTCCAGAAAGCGATCTTCAAACCTGCAGCGCGTAATGAGTTGTCTGCCAATCAACTAAATGTTACATGTAAAGTTTCGTTATGAGAAACTTTCCGTAACAATTGGGAATAGTTACCATTTTGGATCTTCTTACTCTCCCAATCCGTACCATTGCTTATCATCGTCCGATGCCCTTTTGACGTTGGCCGCAACGATAACTCCCTTTGAGTATACGTAAAGACACTCTTACGTCAAGTCAATTCAGTCAATGCCTTTTATACCTAACGTCAAGGGGCATTGGCGCCGGTAGTATTTGGGGTTCCCGGACGGTCACCCATCCGGGAAACCGCGGTGAATCGAGCTAAGTAACTCCGGTGACTTCAAGAAGCTCGGTTAAGACGTCCGGCTATCGGGACACGTCCCTCAAAGCGTGTAATATTTATTCCGCGACCCTGTGAATAACGGAAGGGCGGATTGGCGCTGATGTGCGGTGCTTTGCTTGCAGAACTGGCAGATCCCGCTGGGGCGGCGCTTCCGCGCGCTGAAGCTGTGGCTGGTGCTGCGCCTGCACGGCGCCGAGGGGCTGCGCGCGCACGTGCGCCACCAGGTGGCGCTGGCGCGGCACTTCGAGGCCCTGGCGCGCGCGCACGCGGCCGTGCACGTGGCCACCGTCGCGCTGGGGCTCGTCTGCTTCCGCCTGCAGGTGCGTGCACGCCCCCCTCCCTCCCTCCCTCCCTCCCATCGTCACTCACGTCGACAGCTTCAAGGTGGAGGCAGGCAGTAGGCGATGCTCCTGGGTGCCGGGCTTGCACAGTAATCCACCAGGCAGGCCTATGGCGCGTCGACCTTTGGGCATAATCGGGTGAAGGAAATTCTTCGGGATCTCAGGAAGCCACATATAGAAGTCCGGCGGGACCACCCGCCAGGTTGCCTAGGTTCTGCGGCGATACTCAAGTTAATAGCTCAAAGATGTAGGCGGTAAGGACACAGGAAGAAGGCCGGCCCCAATCCACCCGAATCAAAGTTCGGGTGATCCCCTGTTGGGTTCTTGGGTTCGTCGTGTCAGTGCCCCCCCCCCCCGTCCAAACCAACTCTCAGCATAGAGACAGGATTCGTCCCGGGGTATGTGAGTGGAGCTTTGTTTAGACTCCGGGTTTAGCGTGAAATGCTAGAGCTCTGAGCTGGCAGAGCGGCCCGCCCAGGCATTGTATGGGAAGGTTACCGAGAGGGAAAACTGCATTCGGGCGGGGTTCAGATACTGGCCCAAGGGTTTACGTGTACGGCTGCGGGGGGTGCGAATAGAGGCTAAATTCCAGGGTTAATTCCCCTGGTAGAATACAAGGCGCGTGGTATGCGCCCCATCCAACATTCAATTCAATTCTTCCTATCGACCGACATCAACTGATGTGACTGCAGTGCTTCAGACCAGGAAATTATAAGGTTCCTTTCCGGACGGTGAAAGCATTTTCGACACTAGCTGCATAGCTAGTTCGTATTCATACGATGTCTAAAAGAGTCAGTCCAGACAAACTAGATCAAAAAATCCTGGAGTGTTGGATCGAAGGGAAAAAATCCTAGAGTGTTGAAACTTGGCATAATTATTTTTGGTACCTACTGCATAACATAAAAACATTCTGAAGTGTGAGGGGTAAGCAGGGACGGAGCGGCCATTTGAAAGAGATTTTGCGACGTGTTTTGCCTATATATCCAAAGCTACCAATCACACACAAACTTAAAGTAGAAAAAAAATTCCTACAAAAAAGTTCGCACTAGCTTTGTTGTAAAATCAACCATTTTACAGTTATAGGCTTGAAAAATGGAATTTTATAAATTACACTCAAACCTTTAATCAGTTACTACATTCTAAAACGTATTCTTTTGAACATTTTTCGTCTTGCGTGTTTGTAAAGAAAAGTTTGAAATTGATCTTTGACCCCATGCCAAGTCAACTGAAATATAAATAGAATGGTGATAATTGAATTCGAGTCCTCGTTTTCGGGTCCTTGATAAATAGTGGCTGAGGGAAAGGTGCCATTAACCACTTAGACGATTATAATATCTCCAAAAATCCGAGATCACTCAGTGGATCCCGCCTTGACGAGAGTTTTTGTTTTGTAAAAAAAAATATTTTCTTCTAATTTCAGCAAACTTGAAAACCAGTGTTGATATCTATTCAATTCCTTCCATTTCACATTGTTCTATTACTTCAGTTAAACTTCTTCATACCGAACTTACACTTATCAATTTTAAACGCCACGCTGGTGGGAGATACCTGCTTTGGGAAAATCCCCCTATAGCGACATAGGTCGGCCCGGGGGAAGATCTTCGCCACCTCCCGCGATTAAACATGTTCTACACTTACGAGACTAATGATTCTCTCTCTCTCTCCCCCTCTCCCTCTCTCCCTCTCTCTCCCTCTCTCCCTCTCTCCCTCTCTCCCTCTCTCTCCCTCTCTCCCTCTCTCCC